GTTGTGTAGGATAGTTGTAGCCTGGGTCCCCTTGCTGAGCCTTCAGGTCCCCTCTATACTATTACTAACAAAAAGCTAGCTTAATAAATAAAACACACACATTTACAATCTTACACAGTACTGATAAGATTCTGCAGGTCTCTGAAGCACATATGATATTAATAATGATTTTGAGCGATTTATTGCAAAAAAATGATACTGTCATTGAATGGTAAACTATACACAAACTTCAGATTAACTCCAAACAATTTCAATCATGTTAAACAGTCTACATGACAATGAACAACAACTTAATAATATAACAATGAACAAAGTACAGACTCAGAACTAATAACACAACAATGAACGAAAACTCGGACTTAATAAATGTCTAACAATGCATAAAGTTAACATGTAGTAGACTAAAATATACAATACAAACAACACATTTATATTAGACAAATAATATTAATAAATAAGATACATGAGCAAATATAATACAGACATACAGACATACATTACAGATATTATATTAATAAAAATGTTAGAACAATCTGCAAATCAAACATCTTATAGGTCTGGCCAACTTATAAATGTTTGAAGGGGAGTGGTAGTAGTGTTATAACTACCCCTAAAAATAAAAATAAAATAACTACAAATCAAATAATCAAATAATCGCAAAACAAACATATTATTAAACTAATAAATGTTTGAAGGGGAGTGTTAATATATATGGAAATAGTATATATATGGAATGATGTATATAAGTAACAGACATACTCAAGACATAGCTACATATTATATATACTACTCAATCAACAGACAATGATGCTCACTAATGGATGACACCTACAACAAACAAGAGTAGAGTCTACTGAACCCCTATACTGTGTGATTCCCTCTGAGCATAACCTATATCCTAACAAAAAACACATTAGTCATATTAATCTTAGTATATATACATTCTTAGATAGTATCATTTATGATCTCATTAATGTAGGGAAGTAGGGTACAATCACAGATTGTGTTACTGTTCAGTGCCTAATAATTGTATACCATTTGTAAGAGATCTACAGGATCTGCCTTTAGGATGAGGAATACAGGTAATGTGTACAGGCTTTCCTACCTACACAAACAACCTGCCTGAGTATACTAATTAATGAGTGTGTACTAAGCCTCCTAGTATTTTTGTAAACAAGTGTAAGATTGTACAGCTACTACCTTAGAGGGATTCTTAAACCATATTTTATGAGTGACACCTTTAGGAAGCTCTACAACTGGTAGCATATTATCTGGGAAGCAGTCCTAATACTGTTACTTTAGTTCCCTATCTAATTTCTCAAATCTCTCTAACCTAGCCAGGGTTTCTATACACTCCTAGACAGCTGTAATTAAAGTTAGTGTAGACTCTAGAGTTTTACAAGCTTGTTGTAGGACACAAACCAGTTCTACAATTTCCACCTTTATCAGGTCATAGCTAGAATCCTTTAGAATAACTGTCTAGCTTTCTATGTTAATGATAATCTAATTCTTCTAGAGAAAGAGTGTACTAAGAATCATTTTATTATATAAGTTATTAACTATACAAGCTTTTACAACCCTTAATGTCCATTTCCAATCTGCTGACTGTACCTGTAGCTTTACCTACTCTATAATCTGTTTCCCTAACTCTTTTGCTAATTTAATTGTTAGAGTCATAATAATGTGTTTCTTGAGTAGGAATTACTTAAAACACATTTAGGACACTAGTTTCTTATCAATTAGGACTGTAGAACAACTAGAGTTAATTATAGGTTAGATTCAGATCAGAGTAGAACTGCCTTCTACAAGGATGTAGTAGTCTGGAAATAGGAGAGAGTCAGAAATCAGAATGTACTCAGATTTGTCTCTACTTGTAGGTTCTAGCACTATAGACTACTCTGTTTGTACAGGAGTAGCAGACTTCTACTTTGAATGTAGGGACTAAATATACACTTCTGTAATAAGGACTATGTCTTCCAGTTTGGGCAGACTTATTAGACAACTGTCTCCTCTATAATTTATGAAAGGTTTACAGTATTAGAAACATCCCTAGTTCTTTATTAGAAGCTAGTATTCTGTATAGAATAAGCTAATACACTTTATAGTACTTTCTAAAGTAGCTTTTAGACTGACTGTTGTAGAGATAATCTTTCCTGTGTACTACTTCTCCTGATCCTTCTTCTAAACCTATTCTACTATAAGTATTACTTCTACACTGTTATAAACTTTCACACAGTCTGCTTCCAACTGTTCTACTAGTTTATACATATATTCTAACTACTTATAGAGTCTAGCACAATCTGTTACTTTCTTTCCTAGAACTGGTTCTAAGGTTAGAAGGTAATCTGTAGAATCAAGAATCTGACTATTTACTAAGGTTACTATATATAACCTTTCTACATAAATTACAAGCTGCTCAGAATGTGTTAGGACTAAATTTACAAGTGTGAGACAAAGCTTAAACTGAAGGTCTGAGTGTAGGTTAGCTTTAAGAAGTTTGTAAAGCCTATCAGGATTAAAACACTAATCTTCTGAAAGACTAAAGTTAATCCTAGTAACCTGTAACTACTATTCTTAGAAGTTGTAACTATCTTACTATATTACTAGTAACTTGTTCTAAGTTTGTACTACTTAGTCTGTAGAGAGTATTTTGTACTAAAGCTCCTAGTAGAATGTATCTAGTGTAAGCCCTTCAAGTCTAAGCTAGTCATACTTACACTACTAGTATAGCTTACTGTTCTGTAAACATTCTATTATGACTATAACTATACAGGTTATAAGGACAGATTTAGTGAATGTGTACCTGTAAAATGTAGAGATTTATGACTAAAGAGTGTATAGTGTTAGGTTTCCTAGAGTTAGTATTAGAGACTTTGTTATACTTTCTCAAACTATCTAAGCTTTAGTAAATATAGTACAGGACATTATAGTCTTCTAGTAGTTTAAGGTAGGTAGCTTACTAGTATTACTTTTTAGTTCTAAGAGGTCTGAGCTACTTACTAAATCTGAACTTAGAGTTACTATAAATAGTAGTAGTGTAGAGGAAGTAAATACAGCTTCTCTAGTTAACAGAAGGGTAACTATAGTAGCTTCTGAAAATAACTAGTGTTAGGAGAAACAAGACCTGATTATATGTAGTTAGGAAGAGAGCCAAACTTGCTTTAAGACTGTAATAGTGTGTTTAGAAAGGTTAGAGAGTTTTACTAACAGTAGGGAGTGTTTAGAAAGGTTAGAGGAACCTTACTAACAGTAGGAGATGTTCAGAAAGGTTAGGAGAACTTTACTAATGTGTAGTACAATAAAGACTACTTTATTAATGTTTAAGAAAAAGTAGAATAGTACTAGGGAAGTGTTAAACACTATTACAAATGAGTCCTGTTAAGTTCTGGGTTTACTAACACATATAAAACACTAACAGGACAAAGGTATCTTTGTTACAATTAGGAATAAGAACTAGTTTATGTATATGTAAGAACTCACCTTTGTTATAGTTAGGAATAAGAACTAGTGTAACAAAGGTGAAAGATTAAAACTATATATACTAGAAATGAAACAAAGGTAGCTTATACTTAAAGGGGAAAACAATACAAAGATAAAAAAGGAGAGTATATATACTTAAGAATAAAGAGTATGTAACTTAGACAATAAGGAAACATAGTATAAAGACAGAAGAGGAAATGTGTGTGAGTCTAGAGTCTATACTAAGAAGGTCTAAGCTTAGAGGGAGGTCTAGGTTTAGAAATATAGTTCTACACTAGGAGAGGTATAAAACAGTATAGAAACTGTTATAAGTTGTAAGGTAGGCTTATATTAGAGTACTAAATTAAGGACTGTCTATAAAAGTAACAGTATATTTGTTAAGTCATTAGAGTAATAACAAGTAATGAGTAGGACTTGTAGTAAAAAGCTTTCTCTGTAAATTTAGAAGTTACTAACTCTTAGACTCTAACTATATATTTTAGAATTTTATAAAGGCTTAACAGTAAATATAATACTAAAGAGTTATAACTCAGATTTATTAACAGCCACTTTTGATTCAATAAATACTGTAGGATTAGAAGTAAATAAAGTAGAAAAAGTAAATTAAGAAAATTATTTATTAATAAAGAAAAAGTTAAAAACAAAAGTAGATAGTTCTCTTATTTCTTTTAATTCTTCTGATTCTTCTCTTTACACTTTATTCAAGTCTAAATCTGTACAATCTGACCTACTACCTCTGTGTTTTAAGAACTTAGAATGTTTAGAATACTACTCAGTCCTATTTACTACTTAGTAGTTTGTTTATAATATTAAGTAGAGATAGTCTCAACTGAGTTTATAGTTAAGAACATAGGTCTATCCTGTAAGCCTACCCTACAGCTTATAACAGTTTCTATACTGTTTTATACCCCTTCTAGTACAGAACCACATTTCTGAACCTAGACCTTCTCCTAAGCCTAAACCTCCTTAGTATAGACTCTAAAGCTATACACATTTCCTCTTTTGTCTTTACACTATGTTTTCTTATTATTTGAGTTATATACTCTTTATTCTTAGAGTATACACTCTCCTTTTCTCTTTAGTATTGTTTTCCCCTTTATCTGGGAAGAAGATGATGCTTTGTAATGAATCTGCAATATTTGTTGAGCATAAGCTGACGTATTTGGGGAGAGAGGCTGAAGAATTGCAAATACAGAAGGTTAGGGATTGGCTGCCTTGCAAGAGTGTTACAGAAGTACAGGGATTCCTCAGAACAGTAGGAGTGCTTTGTGTTTTTATTCAGAATTATGCAAAGTTAGTATGACCACTCAATTGACTCACACAAAAGAACTTGATATTCAATTAGAATGATGAAGCACAGAAATCTATGGACACACTCAAGGAAGCAGTTTTACATTGCCCTACACTAACACCAATCAACTATGAGTCAGAGTATCTGGTAGTTTTGGTAGTAGATTTGTTTATCATCAGAGTAGGATGGTATATCAGTCAGGAGCACTTGGATCACAAACAGAGAATAAATCAATTTGGATCAATTAACTGGAATGTGATGCAAGCACAATATTTGCAAGCAAAAATAGAGCTGTTTGGACTTTATTACACACTTTACACATTGCACATATATCTCATAAGTGTTAAGAAATTAATTGTGAAAATGGACACTTCATACATAAAGGGAATGATTAATAAGCCTGACCTACAGCCTAATGCAACAATCAATTGCTGGATAGCTAGTATTTTGCTATTCAATTTCGAGTTCTGCCACATTCCTGCATCAGACTTCAAGTGTACAGACAGATTATTGTAACACTAAGCAGCACCCAAAGACCCCCCAGACAACAACACTTATGAAGACTGGATTGACAAGTCATACAGATTTTACACAGCAGAAATAGAATCTATGCAACACAGACATTAGCTGGAAACACACAGGTCTACAGAACACAAAGCTTTGTTAGTCAAGTGTACAGAAACACAGTCCTGGGTTTCAGATGCAACACACTGGGAGACACATGACAACATTATTGACAAATCATTTCAAGTAAACAAGGACACACTACAGGCAACACGTTCTGGCAGACCACAATGTAGATTATTCCTGGAAGTTGTTATTCCAAAACAGAACTGGAATTGGATACGTCAAGATAAACTAGAACAACCCAATCCAGAATGTGGAAGAGTAGAAGATGAAGCAGACAAAGGACTACAGGAGTGGGAACCTAGAGGAGAGTCTTACAGAGTTGTGGGAACCAAGCAGGTAGAGGGAGTGGATGACAAAGCAGAAGGTAACAATCTAGAGCTGATAAGGGTTGTGTACAGTATCTGTAGTAACAAGACTGAGGGTTTGGACACAACAGTAGAACGATTTCTGCAATTGCCAACTGCTGAAAGGCAAGAAGTAAGACTGAAGGCTGTGAAAGAGTATCTTGGCTTGCTCCACAAACCAAGTAGAATTGCAGACACTGATTTTCCAACATTTATATGATACACTGTACAGTTCTTTGTACAGAACAACAAGATTTGGCATCAAGGTCCTAAAGGAAAGCATTGGATTGTACTGGATAAGGACAGGAGATGGGTGTTAGTTAGGATAGCACACAAAGACTTAGGACACAAGGGAATCTTTGCAGTATGAGCCTGTTTACTGGATCAGTTCTGGTGGCCATCTCTTGTAGAAGACATTAAGTACTTTATTAGGACTTGTCATACATGTCAGACTCAGCAGATGCAACAAGTGCTGATTCTACCAAGTATTCTAGAGATTGTACTGCTTTTCCAAAAGATCCACATAGATACAAAGGTTATGCCAAAAGTAGGAAGATTCTAATATATTGTACATACATACTGTTCATTATCAGGGTATCTGGAGTTTTGCATGCTTCATGCAGAGAACAGAAGGACAATAGGACAGTTCATCTTTGAGGAACTTCTATACTGATACAGGGCATGTTCTGAGCTTATAACAGACAATGGAACACCTTATGTTACAGTGCTGGACTATTTGCAAGAACAGTACCACATCAATCATATTTGGATTTCTGTGTATAACTCCTACACAAACAGAATTATTGAGCAGAAACACTTAGACATACAGGAAGCAATTGTAAAGACAGTAGGAGACAATATTGGACATTAGTATAAGTATACACATTCTGTGTTCTGGGCAGAGCAGATTATGATTCAGAAAGTGACTGGATATTCTCCTTATTACCTTGTTCATAGAGTAGAGCCAATATTACTGTTTGACCTGAATGAGGCAATGTATTTGGTTCCACCTAAAGGATTACTACTAACAACAGAGGAACTGATAGTAATATGAGTGCAACAATTGTAGAAGAGACCAGACAACCTTACACAAATGATGGAAGGTGTACAGAAAGCCTGCAAAAGATACACAAAGCATTTTGCAGAAGTCAATTGTAATCAGATCAAGGACTACAACTTTGCTCCAGGTACACTAGTGCTAATCTGTAATTCAAAAGTGAGCAACAACTTAGGACAAAAGATGAAACCACAATACCTCAGACTGTTTGTAGTGGTGTAAAGAACGAAAGGAAACACTTATGTTGTAGCAGAACTGGATAGAGTAGTGGCCAAGTTATGTATTACAGCATTTTGCTTAATTCTGTATTTTCTGTGTTCACATTTAACAGTTCCTATCTTGTGTCTCATTAATACAGTAGAACTAATGCTGGAAGATGTAGAGCTGTACAGGACTAGTTGCAAGGATACAGATGATCTAGACAACTGTGCTTTGAATGCTATGCTTGAAGTAGAACCAAGTAGAGAAGTCACAGACTCCTGATTCAAGAATGTACAATTTTTCAATATACCCTCCCAGTCTTGTACTGGAAACTAAAATATAGGGATTGATTCCCTACCAGCAACACCTAACAGTTGTGTAAATCTGTAAAATACTGTGTTCTACCACAGTTCCCTATGCTTTGTTATGTTTTATATTCACATACTTTTGATCTTCTGTTACATTCCTTCTCATTTACAATAAATTGTAAAAAGCCTATACAACATTCTATAAGCATATAAACCTTTATACAAATTATGATTCTTTTCCACCTATTCCCATCCTATTCCACTAGTTCTATACATAAATCATAAAAATATCCATCCATCCATTCCATTCCTCTTAACTCTCTATTTTATCTATTTTCCTATCCATTCTATCCATTTCTGTTCCATTCTGTTTATTCCTTACATTTCTGGTTTTTTTCATAAAAACAAAACTGGACTTTTATTTCTCTACTTTCTACCCTGTTCTATTTCCTACTCTAACCCTTCTACCCTACTATCTATAGAGGCTTCTGCTACTATGGCTAAGAAGTTGATACCCTGCCTCAGAGCTATGATTTTTGTATCAAACTCATTCTTCATTGTCATCAGCTACAACTCCAGGTCATTCAGCTCCTTAGTCATCTGTGAGTAGAGGTTGTAGACTGTTCTGGCTTCACTATACATGATTGGAGGGATGACAGAATGTAGGTTTCAAGTTGTACTGTACAATTCTACAGTTTGCCCCCTAGTCTTACACTGGATTCCCTTCAGGCTATATCTAGAGTGGCAGAATATGTATACTGTGTACTAGTTTTCTACACAAATGATCACTATTGACACAGTCAAAAATAAGATTGAAACAGACTTACTTGGATTACTGTAGTACAGCCAATCTATTACAGTCTAGCAAGTGGATCCCTAAGGACCCTTGTGCCTCTTTACACACTTCATACACTTGGGTGTGTGGAAGACCATTCCCTCTGCCTAATCTGGAGGGATATCCTCATCCTCCTTGCTTGAAGACTCTACCACAACCTTCTGGTTTTTTGTGTGTGTTTCCTTACTAAAGACCAGAATCTCTACCTCTACAATAGTGTACTTCTTGCTCAGGAGCACTAGTACTGGCTCTAGACAACAAAATAGAGTCAGTATACTTAGAAAATCAACTACCCCTTATCTACATTACCTTTTTCCTTACTTTTGTCCTCTTTCTTCTTTTCTAGCTTTGTAACTACTTAAGGAACTAGGAGAAACATTGTATTAGCTTAGTACAATTTGTTAGTCATACTTGTACTTACTGACTATGACTTGTTTTTCCTTCCTATCCCTTCTTGTATTAACCTTCTCTTTCTCTACAACTGGCTTTTTCTTTTCTAGTTTTGTAACTTCTTTAGGAACTAGGTAAAGACAACATTAGTAGTGTACAATTTGTTAACTATACATTTAATTCATACCTGGCTTGTTCCCCTTTTCTACTACTACCTTTGACCTTTCTGTATTTGCAACAGTATTAGAACCTGTGTAAATGGTTAGTTATTGTGTACAATTTGTTAGCCATACTTATACACATACCTTTAGACCCCTCCTTTTCCTTCTTATCCTTCTGCTTTGTTACTGACTGTACTAAGGCTGTAGCCTTCTCCTTCTCCTTCTCCTTCTCCTTCTCCTTCTCCTTCTCCCTCTCCCTCTCTTTCTCCTTCTCCTTTCCCCTCTCCTTCTCCTTCTTTACCTTAGCTTGAGCCTCTTCCTTAACCTTAGCCTACATTACTTTCTCAGCCTCTACCTTTACTTTAGCCCTAGCTACAGCTTTGTCCTCCTTTGCTTTTACAAGCTCCTCTACTGTTGCCTTACAATCTACAAGATGTTCTGTGTCAGTAGACAGATTGGAAATCAGGAAATAGGAGACTTACTACCAGATTGACCCTCTACTAGTACAGACAAAACCTCCTCACTCTCTGAATCATTATTATTGTAAGCATTATTGTCTGAGCTCTCTTTGTCTTCAGACTTGGGATCTGTGGTTGATCCATCAGTTTCCTCCTTTGTAACCTTGTCCTCTAGTTTGTTTTCTGTGTTAGAACCTGTAGAGTACATTAGTATATGAGCCAGAGACAATGTGCTTCACAGAGGTACTCACTGAGCATATGTTTGACTAGCTTGTCATTCATGTCCATTCCCTCACTGGCTACTATGTTGTTGTGTGTGCAATTTCCAAGGAAAATCACAAAATCAGTATAAAAAGAGTGGAAAAGAGTACAACACTTACTGTCAGATTTGCTAGAGAGTAGTAATGACATGGCAAGAGTGATGGAAGGAAGCAGGAAGAATAAGCAACAATGTTCACACACACACAGAACTTACATTCAGCCTGCCAATCATTAAATCAACCATGTGACTGTGGACAGTCACAAGCAGACACACTAGGAGATGAAACAATCAGTATCATGCTAAGAACTGTACATCACATACAGACAATCACAGTAATCAATTCCAAACACCTATGTGACTCATAGAAGCCTACTCTGAGAACACCTAACTATTCTACATTACAAGCATTTGCAAACAGAACTGTAAGAGTGTACAGTCTTAGAATTGGCTTACACACATTGTTTTCTCTACAGGATGTACAGATCATGTGCTTATTACAGGCTCAGAACACAAGTTGTGTCACAGTGAGTGGCTCAGCAAACTATTACATTATTATTGCCTAGATCAAAGTACTATGATCTTCTAATCAGATAGGACATTGGGGCAATCAAAGTGTTGATCTCAGGAGACTGCCAGAAATCTCAGAACTCTCTACACTTTGTCTGTACCAATCAGATGATAACAGTATGAGAACCTTCTATTTCTTTCAATGTAAATCTTGCTTTTCCCTTTTGTATAACATTTCCTGTGGCTAGAATACAGACCACTTAAATTTTCCTCATACATTTTCACCCTATTTTCTTCCAACCTCTGGCAAAAGGTTCTCTTATTTGTTCTTGTATATTTTGTTATTTTTCTTTTGTTCAGTCATGACATTTCCCTGTTAGTACTATGCTTTTCCAGAACTCAGAAAACTATAAATACAGCTACTCATGTACTAGATACAGGGGGAATTCAGATAGTTCACCCATTGATTTAGCTCTTGTCTCTTGTCTCAAAGTCCTCTAGTGTGAGGCATAGTTTTAGTCTTTGTTGTTTTCTGTATCAGATTGTTTGTTGTGCACTTTGTAAAGTGCACTTTCTGTTATTCACATTACTCTTCCAAGGTTGCAACTGTGTCAGAAGAACTTGCACCTGTTTGAAACCACTCTAGTCTTCTAAGACTCATGGTTTAGCTCCCCCTCAAACTTAACAAATCACCTGTGATCTTCTCTTAGACACTTTACAGGAGTTTCAATATATGTAAGAGCTCACCTTTATTATAGTTAGGAATAAGAACTAGTATAATAAAGGTGAAAGATTAAAACTATATATACTAGAAATAAAACAAAAGTAACTTATACTAAACGTCCCTCCTACAGCTTTCACTCTCTACAAAATCCAGTTTACATCCATCAGATGCTTGTATACAAACTTCTGTATTCCCTTGTTCTTAGGAAGCGTTTCCTCTGTTCTGTCTACTTTCTCATATCTTGAGCAGGGTCCAATCACTGGAACATTGTCTGTGTATAGGTTTGTAACATTCAGAATCTTGTTACAAAGAATAAACACTAAGTCATTATACAGAATCTGTACTGAGTTAGTGTAACCCATTAGTAATACTGTCAAGCAAAACGTCCCTAGAGGTGTCTGGAACATTGTCAGATCTCTAGACTGCTCATCCAAACTCCTCTGATCAAACACAATATGCAAATCGAGTTGTGTATAGCATGCACAACCTCTGCAGCTTTCTACAATTAGTTCCATGTTCAGCAGAATGACTGTGTCCTTTATTGTAACTGTGTTTAACCTCTGCAAATCAATAATAAATCACAAGGATACTCTGTCTTTCTTTGTGATGCAAAACCATTGTGATTGATAGGAGGAATTTGACAGTTCTATTGCTCTGTTACACAACTTCTCCTTCAACAACTCAATCACCCTCTTCTCAATTCTGTGTGCAATCAGAATACTTTTCTCTACCCATAGTACATGCTCTACAGTCAGAATTCGAATAGGATTGAAGTACATGGGGTCCAATGTTCCTTGCTCCTCTTCTGTCCACACAAACACTTCTGACTGTAGTATTAATAGGTTTTCTGTGAGTTTCCATTCTTCCAGCCATAGGAATCCTGATTGCAATTCTCTAATCACTTGCATCTGTTCTTCTGTAAGTCAGCCAGTAGGCACAAAGGGCTGTAGTATTGTTGGTAATATAGGCATTCTGGCTAGAGGATTGGAGTGCCATTGTCTGACTATGCAGAACTCCTCTGGAAGTACTCTGAGTACAGGGCACACCTTATTTGTGACTTTCTTGTAAGCCCACAAAACTGTGTCGAGTTTGTCATCCAGTGTATTGAGAATTACTGACTTCTGTGACTCTGCTACCTCTATCATCCATGATTCTGTAACTCATGATCCCTGACTGCAATCCTTTCTTGCATTTACTCTATTTCCTTTGTCTCTTCCTCTGTACAGAATCATTACCTTACTATTACTCTTCTGCTTGTTTGTTCCTAATCTGCTTGTCATATATGCATCTCCCCAGAATTGTAGTGTTTCTGGTTCCTTGATGCTTCTCAAAAATCTGTCTCTGGCTTGTATCACAGTGCCCTCACTCCAGTTGACAGAGACCACCTCCTTGACAGATTATTCAGGTCCCAAAGTGTTATGTGCTGCTCCCCATTTGCAAAATCTTTGGTTTCACATTCTGTAGTTACAAAGAACAGTCTACCTAGTAAGATCCTGAACAGAGCTTTCTGCACAACTTGTACTGTAATATCTATGTGAAGCATTCCTATAGAGAGTCACAACCTCAGAATCTGTCCTACAGTTGATCCCTGACCAGCATCTACTGTTTCAAGCATAACAGCCATATTACAATCCAACAGAATCTTTAATGCTTCCTATACATCAGCTTGAACTATGTTTATGCTTGATCCCTGGTCTAGTACACAATCTACCTCAATTTTTCTGTCTACTATTGTCTTAAGCATACAGAGTAGAAGCAAATGGTTAACTTCTACTAACATGTTGCAATACTGCTGCAGCCCACTATTGTTTAATCCTGCAACAGGCAGTTCTCTACTGTAGAATGTGGTGTTTCCATCTGTTCAGCACCTTAATGTTACTAATTTGCAAGTCTTCTTCTGAAGCTCTAGAGACAATGTAAGTAACTCCTACTGTGTAATACACACTTCCTGGTCCAAGCTGTAATCTAAAACTCTTCCAGCTATTTCCAGGTCCTCAATTAGTGTAATGTAGCAGTACAGGTACTCCTTTGTCCTAGTTGCATCTTACTGTGTACTTGCTAGTGCTGGTCCAATATCTGTGGGTTTTGCTACTTTGTAATCACACCCTTGCTTTCCCTTCCCCTTCACATCCTTTACTTTCGATTGTTCTGCAACCTTCTTACAGGCTTCTCCTAGCATTACTTCAAGCCTTTTGAGCTCTACAAGGTTCTCCACCTCCTCCTCTTCTTCTTCATCAATCTCTACCATTGTAACTAGTATAAGAGCTCCTAGACTGTGTACTATGACTAGTACAGTCTGTACAAAACTAACAGAGTGCATTTGCAACAATGGAAAGTGGCTATCAACCTTTTCCTTCAAGGTCTGCCCTATCCCAGAAATAGTGTTTCTGTTGGCCATAATAATTTTATTGTCTGGGCTCTGTGTACACTTCCTGTTTGTAATGTATTCTAACACTTTTGAGCAACTGTGTATAAAATGTCCAGATTCTCCACAAAATGCACAACTTCTGTTTCCTGATCCTCTACCTGAACCTCTACTGTATCCTCCTCCTCCTGATCTTGGGCCTTACTTTATTGACTCTACTTGCAATTGCAGACTCTGAAGTGCTTCCACAACACTTGTCAAATTAACTTCTTCCTGTTTGACCAGAATCACAGGCTGACTCACAAGCATATCCAATCCACTAACTGCTGTGAGTGTAGATCCCTCAAGGATTGACCCTACTGCAGCTACAACTTGTGCAATATTGTACACAAGTCTGTCCTCATAGTCTGAATACTTGATTTCTAACTTCTGTGTCAGCTTTTCTGCAATTGCTCTACAGAACACACACAGAAAAACACAGCAAGATTCCTCCAGTGACAGCTTATCATTAGTTGTCAAATAGGTTGCTATGAGTGTAAACTCTTGGTGGTATGTTCCCAAATTGTCCCTATTTGTAATTCCTCTCTCTGCCCATTTCTGTACTATAGTATCCAAGTCACTTCTAGCATATTGTGCTCCTGTCTTGAGACTCAGGTAATACACAATTACTCCTGTCTTAAATGTATCCCAAGACATTTTATCCACATTATCCCACAAATCCTCCACTTCTACAGGTACATACTTTATTGCAAGCAGAATGATATCTGCTCCAGCTATGTTACATTCGTTTGTAAGACTTTCCACATCTGTGAAATACCTCTGCAATTCTCAGGGCTTGGTTCTGTTGAAGGACAGTGTATCACATGCTCTGTAACAAGGCAGCTTCAGAACATTCAATGTGGCCATTAGCTGTACTGCCAGTCTTGGTTGTAATAGAATTTGTGTGTTTACTTGTAGTTGCTGAAGTAGTCACACATCACTTGCAAGTTACTGTTGCTGTAATTGGAGCTGTGTTGCTAACAATACACTGGTTGCTGGTGTGAGTGAAGATAGTGGCTGCTGGACTGTCTCTGTTTCCTGTGGAGACAACTGTACTCTTCTACAATATAGTGTGCCAGTTACAGTCAGTTGCAATGTTGATGTGATTTGGGAAAGTTGTAGGGTAGCTAGCAATCCTGTACACAATTCTAGGGACATGAAATACAGTAGTTTGTTGTGAATTCAGAAATCGATTATTTGGGGATTGAGTAATGTTGCTACAAGGTCTTCTTCTTCCTCCTCTTTGTTACTGACTTGAGCACTCTACTGTTCTAATAGTGTTCCTAAGGTTTCTGCAATATTGGATTCTGTACTTTCAGTGTTTGGAGTATTGGACGTTTTACAGTACAATTGGATTCTAGCAGATCTGTGTGTTCCACTCAATACAGGTACTGGTGCTGACTGTGACTGAGTTGACCTAAGCCCACAGGCTAGTGTCTGAGAAACCTGTTTAGAATACTGAGAACTGTTAGAACTTGTGTTGTTTAACTATGGAAACCCCCCTCACAGTAGGCTCCAGATGAAACTCCTGTGAAGTGTCTAAGAGAAGATCACAGGTGATTTGTTAAGTTTGAGGGGGAGCTAAACCACAAGTCTTAGGAGACTAGAGTGGTTCCAAACAGGTGCAAGTTCTTCCAGCACAGTTGCAACCTTGGAAGAGTGATGTGAATAACAGAAAGTACACTTTACAAAGTGCACAACAAACAATCTGATACAGAAAACAACAAAGACTAAAACTATGCCTCACACTAGAGGACTTTGAGACAAGAGACAAGAGCTAAATCAATGGGTGAACTATCTGAATTCCCCCTGTATCTAGTACATGAGTAGCTGTATTTATAGTTTTCCAAGTTCTGGAAAAGTGTAGTACTAACAGGGAAATGTCATGACTGAACAAAAGAAAAATAACGAAATATACAAGAACAAATAAGAGAACCTTTTGCTAGAGGTTGGAAGAAAATAGGGTGAAAATGTATGAGGAAAATTTAAGTAGTCTGCATTCTAGCCACAGGAAATGTTATGCAAAAGGGAAAAGCAAGATTTACATTGAAAGAAATAGAAGGTTCTCATACTGTTATCATCTGATCAGTACAGACAAAGTGTAGAGAGTTCTGAGATTTCTGGCAGTCTCCTGAGATCAACACTTTGATTGCCCTGATGTCCTATCTGATTGGAAGATTGCAGTACTTTGATTCAGGCAATAATGACATAATGGTTTGCTGAGCCACTCACTGTAACACAACTTGTGTTCTGAGCCCATAATAAGTATGTGATCTGTACATCCTGTGGAGAAAACAATGTGTGTAAGCCAATTCCAAGACTGTACACTCTTGCAGTTCTGTTTACAAATGCTTGTAATGCAGAATAGTTGGGTGTTCTCAGAGTAGGCTTCTATGAGTCACGTGGGTGTTTGGAATTGATTACTGTGATTGTCTGTATGTGATGTACAGTTCTTAGTGTGATGCTGATTGTTTCAATATATAGACTAGTTCTTATTCCTAACTATAACAAAGATACCTTTGTCCTGTTAGTATTCTGTGTGTGTTAGTAAACCTGGAACTTAACAGAACTTGTTTGTAATAGTATTTAGTACTTCCCTAATACTGTTTTACTTTTTTTTAACATTAACAAAACAGTCTTTATTATACTACACATTAGTAAGGTTCCTCCAACCTTTCTAAATGTCTCCTACTGTTAGTAAGGTTCCTCTAGCCTTTCTAAATACTCTCTACTGTTAGTAAGGCTCTCTAGTCTTTCTAAACACACTATTATAGTCTTAAAGCAAGTTTGACTCTCTTCCTAACTGTATATAACTAGGTCTTGTTTCCCCTAATACTAGGTATCTTTAGAAGCTACTATAGTTACCTCTCTATTAACTAGAGAAGCTGTATTTACTTCTCCTACACTATTACTATTTATAGTAACTCTAAGTTCAGATTTAGTAAGTAGTTTGAACCTCTTAGAACTAGAAAGTAATATAAGTAAGTTACTCACTCTAAACTACTAGAAGGCTACAATATTCTGTACTATATTTACTAAAGTCTAGATAGTCTAAGAAAGTATAACAAAGCTTCTAATACTAACTCTAGACAACCTAACACTATACACTCTTTAGTTATAAATCTCTGTGTTTTACAAGTATGTGTTTACTAAATCCATCCTTATAACCTATATAGTTGTAGTTATAATAGAATGTTTATAGGACAGTATACTATGTTAGTAGTACAAGTATGACTAGTCTAAGCTTGAAGGGCTTATACTAGATACATTCTATTAGGAGTTTTAGTATAAAATACTCTCTATAAACTAAGTAGTACAAACCTAGAACAGACTACTAGTAATATAGTAAGATAGTTACAACTTCTAGGAATAGTAACTATAGGTTACTAGGATCAACTTTAGTCTTCTAGAAGATTAGTACCTTAATCCTGATAGACTTTATGAACTTCTTAAAGCTAACCTACACTCAGACCTCTAGTTTAAGCTTTACCTTACACTTGTAAATTTGGTTCTAACACATTCTGAGTAGCTTACAATATATACAGAAAGGATACATGTAGTGACTTTAGTAAATAGCCAGATTCCTGATTCTACAGATTACCTTCTGACTCTAGAACTAGTCCTAGGAAAGGAAGTAACAGATTGTGTTAAACTCTACAGATAGTTAGAATATGTATATAAACTGGTAAAACAGTTAGAAGTAGACTACACAAAAGTTCACAACAGTATAAAAGTAATACTTACTATAGAACAGGTCTGGAAGAAGGATCAGGAGAAGTAGTACATAGGAAAGGTTATTCCTACAACAGCCAGTCTAAAGACTGTCTCAGAAAGTACTGTAAAGTGTATCAGTTTGTTCTATACAGAGTACTAACTTCTAATAAAGAACTAGGGATGTTTCTAATACTATAAACCCTTTGTAAATTATAAGAGAGACAGTTGCCTAACAGGTCTGCCTAAACTAGAAGATATGGTTTCTATTACAGAAGAGTATATTAAGTCCCTATGTCTAAAGCAGAAGTCTATTACTCCTGTACAAACAGAGTAGTCTATAGTACTAGAACCTGTAAGTAGAGACAAATCCAAGTACATTCTAATTTCTGACTCCCTCCTATTTTCAGACTACTGTATTCTTACAGAAGACAGTTCTACTCTGATCTGAATCCAACCTATAATTGACTCTAATTGTTCTACAGTTCTGATTAATAAGAAACTAGTGTCTTAAATAAGTCTTAAGTAATTCACACTTAAGAAACACATTATTATAACTCTAGTAATCAAATCAGTAAAAGAGTCAGGGAAACAGATTATAGAGTGGGTAAAGCTATAAGTGTAGTTGGCAGATCAGAAATGAACATTAAAAGTTGTAAAAGCTTGTATAGTTAATAACTTGTATAATAAAATGATTCTTAGTACACTCTTTCTTTAGAAGAATCAGATTATTATTAATATAGAAAGCTAGACAGTTATCCTAAAGGATTCTAACTATAATCTGATGAAAGTAGAAATTGTAGAACTAGTTTACACTCTACAGCCAACTTACAGAATCCTAGAGCCTATACTAACCTTAACTACAACTGTTTGAGAGTGTATAAAAACCCTAGCAGAGTTAAAGAGATTTGAGACATTAGATAGGGAACTAAAGTAACAGTATTAGGACTGCTTCCCAGACACAATACCACCAGTTGTAGAGCTCCCTGAAGGTGTTACTCATAAAATACAGTTTAAAGATCCCTCTAAGATAGTAACTATACAATCTTACACTTGTCTACAAAAATACTAGAAGGCTTAACACACACTCATTAATTAGTATACCTAGGTAGGTTGTTTGTACAGGTCAGAAAGCCTATACACATCACCTGTGTTTCTTATCCTAAAGGTGGATCCTGTAGACCTCTTACAAATAGTATACAATTATCAGACCCTAAATAGTAACACAATCTATGATTGTACCCTACTTCCCTACATTAATAAGATCATAAATGATACTATTAAAGAATGTATATATACTAAGATTGACATGACTAATATGTTCTTCTAAATGTGTATAAACTTGGAACATATTCTGCTCACTATAATTAGTACTCTGTTTAGGTTGTATAAATAGACAGTCATACTAATAGAGTTATACAATGTACTAGCTATATAATAGTAGCAGGTTACAAAGGTACTAAGACATCTTATTAGGAAAATCTGTTATGTCTACTTGGATGACATTATCATCTAGTTATAGTCTAAAGTAGAACACATTAGGAATATTAGAAAGGTTATACAAGTACTTTATAATAAAGGACTCATCTGTTTACAGAAGAAGACCAAGTTATTCTGTACAGAGGTTAAGTTCCTTAAACACCTGATTACTGAAAAGGGGATGGAAGCAGACCTAGACAAGGTTAAGAGCATCCTATAATAGCTACAGTCTTAGAGAGTAAAGGATGTCTACAAATTCCTTAAACTGTTATACTATATTATAGTATACCTTCTACACCTAACAGAACACACTACAGTTCTTTCCCTGTTCACAAGTAAGGATTGTGACAAGGTTTTTCCAGAATGGAAACTAGAACATTAGTAGGCCTTTAAAGCTATCAAGTCAATTGTTACTAGCAGAGAGTGCCTCACCTCTATAGACTATGACTTGAGTGAGCAAATCTACATAACTACAAATACAAGTGACTCTAGAACTAGAGCAGTTCTTAGTGTCAGATTCTTATAAAAAACTGTAAGACTTATAACATTTGAGTCTAAGTAATACAATAGTATACAGTGTAACTACCTAGTATATG